ACTGCGACCTCTTCTCAGCTGCGTCACTGTGGGCGAATAGAGGGAGGCGTTCTCCATACAGATACAGCAGAAACACTTGAGCGTGTCATCTACGCCAGACTATGGGAAATTCATGCACACGTGACAGCGAGGTACAAATAGAGCGCAGAGTATGCGCGCAATTTCAGTACTTATATTCTGTCGCTTGTTCTGCTATCAGTCACAAGTCATTTTAGGCGATCATGCCGCAATACTTCAAAGGTAAAGCGTCGTATTGCTTGCTCATGGCTTGATTTTATATATGAAGATGTCTGATCTTTTGGCTGCTGTAGACGGAACGATCGTGATCGAGCACGAGAACAGGAACCTGCACGTGGTCGATGGTCGGCACCGGATGCCGAGATTGTTGATCTTGACACTTTATTAGAAGCTCCCTCTCCGTCAGCCAGCAAAATGGCGGCACGACGTCGCCGCAAGAAGTGCGTTATTTGTTTACAAGCTTATTCCTATTCGTGTATTATTTTAACGCGAGCTCTGTCGAATCGATAGACGCCAGTCTCTTTCGGAGCGCTTTCACGGACCACGACGCCATGCCTCGAACAATGCTTGTCCCCCTCGCGCGCCTTCGTTTGACGAAAGAAATTCGGCGGCTCGATCGCGATTGTATCGTAGTCGCACGGAGACTGGCCGACGCCCCATGATGATGCTTCCTGATGAACCACCAGTGCCTATTTATCGCTCATATGAAGACCCTGGATATCTGGCTGGGGATCCTTTCGAACTGCAGCCTTTTGACACTGACTGTATTCTCGGCAGTCCAATTAATTCTCCGTCTGTAATTCACGCACGATGGGGAGAACCCGTGGATGATCCTGATGAGGAAAATATGTGTACAGATTTTTCGCCTAATCCATTTAAATTGGGTTTTTGTATCAACTGCATGAAGCAACACGATATTAAAGAAGATGGACAGGTTGCAAAAGTTAAGGAGTACAAACGAATCGCTCGTCCCACAATCTCAAAGACGGCGGCTAACGCCTTGGACAATCCCAGTGCTATTCCAATTCCAAGAAGCTCCGTTACAATGCTGTCAGACAGTGGACGGGAGAGTGACATTGATTTAGCTCAACTTTTAGCTCAGAGGAGAGATGTGCTCACAAGGTTAAACATTTTGAATCAACAACATGCTAAAATGAAGAAGGCGCAGGCTACAGGAACCACAGGACGCAGAGCCGGTACCTTAGATCATTGTTATTTAGCTCGGATGAAAATTTTGGTTTAATCTTGCTTACGTTTTATAGATCGCCATACGACTATCAATTTTGGAGACAATCCGCGGACAAGTTTGCGGCGGGTAGGCACACGACCACCAGGATCGGGTCCAATCATTACTCGTGGCACGCCGGGGAGTTTGGCACAAAAGCCGATATCCACGAACAATTTTGGGGCGTCAAAAAGTGTGAATATGGCCTCGCGCTTATATGACGATGAAGAGCCTGCGCTGAATGTGTGGTTGTAGAGCTTTGGAAACCTTTGAAATGGTTGTGCTTGGACGTCTCGCCTTATTAAACGCCTTGGAGTTTGCTGCGAATGAATGCTAGAGACCCATATATATTGTACCAGTAATTTGGGGTTGCAAGGTGATTCGCCATACTGATTGACGAGTGCAGTCAACATAGGAAATGAGTTTTGTGGGATGGACTTCAGTGAGCGAAGAAGAAGCAAACCAGAGCTAGGATACTCTGGAAAGAAGGAGAGAGAACTTTCATGAGCCTCATTGGAAGGCTAATGCAAGACGCGACTTAATAATGTAATATGAGCACCGTAGTATGATCTCTCCGTTTTCAGTTCACGCGCCGCAACAACGTTGTTACTTGATATGAACAAAGCCAAACGGCATCCATACATTTGCCCTCTATCACTACTACATGCAACAAAATTCAGGGAGAAGCCTTTTAAATCATGACCTCGAAAGTCAGTGACGACAATACAACACCGTTTGAGTGAAGGCTAAATGATTGCCTTTCCATTTGTGCAACGTCGTTTATCGGTGGCAAAGAGTCTTTTGAATCTACTACCATTTAAGACTAACTGAACAAGCATTAAATAACGTTAAAGACTTTATGCGTTAACATACCCTTAGACTTTTTCCCACTCAGCAACTGCGAGATGAGTTACGAAATATGCGCTTAGATGTACCTATTTTAAAAATTAATCACGATACAAAAAATTTAATAGGATCTATCTGTCACCTTATGTTGACTACTATTAGCTTCGCAACTGAAACTTCCAAAGCTCACCTCTCACTTTCACTTTAGCTGACACCCTCATGCCCTCATAACACTACACACCCTTCATAGAGGTAATGTTGTCGAGCCATGAACGGGGTCTGGGTGGGAAGGGTGTGGATCACACAAGATGGTGTGAACAATTGTGTGGCTACACTTTAACAAAAAGACAGTAGTTAAGGTTTCTAAAGATTTAGATATAGGTGGTGTTGCCGCAAATAAAACCGAAAAAAACACTTTACGTTTTGAACGGAAAAGTTAATTTGTAACGAGGTTGGACGTACCCAGAGTGTAACGGAGTTACACGTACCCTAGTATGAAAGGGCGGATGGTCTGACCAGACAAAGATGTGGACTACACAAGTTGGTGTAATCACACAATGGTGTAGCAACACCGTGACAAGAAGCCACTGTGTAGCAGGACTGCCAGTAGTTCGAGGTTCAACTATTTGATTAGAAAAACCTGATGTTTTAGATATAGGCGACTCTGCCGCAAACAAACAATAAATACAGTTTCAATTTTGAACAGAAGAGCGCCGTTACCTTGGTAATGGTATTAAGTACTCTTGAAGGCAGCGGATAGCGATCCGCTGCACTCGTACTGGTTCTTGTATTGAACGTAAGGTCGGTGACCTAAGCTTAGATTCCTTTTAGCAAAGAGCTTCGGCAGCCCCGCTGCACTTGGTAGCACTCGTAGTCCGTCTACGCCTGAGTCGTTACGACTGATCCTCTGTGAGGATGGAGCAATACTCCTATTTGCCCCAGGGTATGAAGGACGGGCTTGACAAGCTGATATCCCTGCTTGGCCGTGAGGGCGTGTAACACCTTGTTTTGCAAGGGTCCGAAGCGATAAACGCGCACTTTGAGGCGTTTTCGTGCTGTGAAAATGCTCTGCAAGAGCACCTACAGCAGGTGTCGACTGCATTCATGACGCTACCGTCGAGACGGATGACTCCTCCGACCCAGGCCGCTCATGGTACCTTCGAGAGTAATAGGGAGAGAATCAACTGCTTTGAGTAAGAGAAGCGGAGATGGCTATAGTAACCGCCTTGCTCCAGAACGAGCAAAGCTTGTGGCGCAAGCAGTCTCCAAGCTCGGGGTCGAGCGCGAAAATGGGCACTAACGTGCGGTGCTTCGGTTGAAACGGCGTTCCTCTCCTGGAAGGAGCTGAAGTGTTAGCTTCTGCGAGTGTTCTCGCCGCATAACCAGGCATATCGCGTGTGATCACGTTTCCATTGACACAAAGGGGAGAGCTAAATTGAAGCTTTGATGATCAAAGATCTTCAGTCTT